TTGAGGAGATGCCTTCGGCTGAAATTCTCTTTGTAAAGCTGTGGTAAAGATATATTTTTGATGTATCAGACTTCATTTTTTTCCCTGTAATTCATGAGGTGCATGGGGGGATGCAGCATTCACCCACAGCCCATGAGAAAAGGGCACTTGTGCTGGAGCGTGTGGATGCTGAAAAGCTGTAATCCAGTGAGAAGCTTGAGCAGAGACAGAGATGAGAAACTTTACCCCATGGATAGAAGAAGAAAAGCCTCTGTTGCCAGAGATAGAAGAAGAGAACTTCCGGGTTTTTTATGCTAGAACACCTCATCCTTGAAATAGTATCCCATAAGTTGGCATGGCCCATGAAAGCAGCTTTGGGAAAGCTGCAAGGCATGGGAGGGACTTTCACACTGCAAACAGATTTTCCTTTCCCAGGCAGCTGATTCACTGTGACATTGAAGCCATGAGAGGACTGTTTCTTGTGAAGTCTCCATGACATGGTGAGAGAAACTCCTCCCCCTAAGAGATTGTGAATCTGAAAATCCCAGGTTTTGTCTCTGTGTTGTCTGTGGGAAAGAAAAGAAGTTGTGGGAAGGGGAGGAGAAGTGTTCTGAAAGTTTTATTCTGATTCTTATTATTCTTTTAGTTATGTTAATAATGTTTTCTTTATACCTTTTAAGTTTTGAGCCTGCTATGCCTTCCTACTAATTCATATCTCACAGCAGGAAGTGAGTAAATAATTCTCATAAGTGCACTAGCAATTTTAGCCACCCACATTATTTAGTACATTGGCCAAGAAACTCAGATTAGCAAACCTAAACCGCTACATTTACATAATGATAATTTACGAGAAGTAGTTTACTGTGAAGTCTTACAAGTTCTGAAAGACTACATATACCCATTCACAGGCATCATGATCACAGCTTTTTTAAACATTGGAATGGGTAAGTTAAATTAAAAAAATATTTATTATGATGGCCTTTACTCTGATTACTTGTTCTGATGTTTTCTGAAAGACAGGACAGACCAGAAATATTTGCTCATAAATATCTGCAGATTGTGCTCTGGCTTCAGATTGACTCTCAAGAACCTCTAAAATGCCAGAAGGAATCTTTTTATTAGTAGCTTTGAAATCAGGCAGTGTGCTTCCTAAAATTAATATCTCTTCTTACAAAGCATCCAGTTCTATTTCATGCTTGTAAAATTAAGGCTAAATGAAACTGCTGTACCAGAAGCCCAAGAAATTTTTAGCTGTTCAATGTTCACTTTGTTTTTATCTCTCCAACACTGAGAACATTGTTTATTCACAGAATGAAGCAAGAAGGTGTGTGTTAATATAGGAAGTCAGCCATATCCTTATCCATCCATGAGTTGAAACAGTTTCATGAATATCCCATGTCCATTCCAAAAGAGATGAACAACAAAATGTGTTGAGGTTTCCATACAGGGCATATATTTGAGCTGAAACTCAATTTGAAATTTTCTTAATTGAATTATGGGTCCATGGAGAGATTCAGCCAGGACTAGTGAGTTTTTGCAATTGACACTCTACCTACATATGTGATCTGTAAATTTTTCAGCCCTGTAGGAATATGGAAACAAGGAAATATGAATCTTAAATTTCTTAACCTAATCTTAGAAAAAGCATGTTTCCTTCATGTTACAAAACATATTTCTGAGCACCACAGAAGGTCTGTTGGATGACTTGACATCTGGTTCCCACATCTTTCGTGGTGTCCTTTCCTGGGACTACCCCAGTAAAATAATACTTGTACTGAGTTGAAACAGCTTGTGGACTATATACAGATTATTTCATTCTGATAAACCACAGATACCATATTAGTTGCAATTATTTTAGTTTCCTGATTTTTGAGTTTATTGTCCTCAATGGGCTAATGCTGTATTGGATGTGCATTTGCATATCTTGTTTTGCAAAATGCATTTGCATTACGTTATTTGTCTCCACTTAAAACACATGTCCTCCTTTCTTACTGCACAGCAATTCTGTTCAAAAACTTCACAAGATAGCAGATGTACTGCAGATCTGGGAAGAGCTGATCAAAGCACAACACATTCCCTTCCAGAGGCGCAGTGAGTTGCAAGCAGTCATTCAACAACTATTGGGTAGTTGGAAAAATATTCGCCAACTAATTGATAAACCAGGGCTGTTGTCATGTTTATCTGAAATATGTCAGTCCTTTTTCCCAGTCCATCAACCACTTCCTACAGAGGTATATGCATTACACGGTAATGTGCTTTTCTGTGGGAGGAGGTAAAGAAGGTAGCTGTATGAATGTCATATTTCTCATGTGTACAATTAAATATTTTTTGTCCTTTTTTCAGGCAGCTATTTAGAAAACTGAAACTGATGCTTTCTGATACTTATGACGGTATTTTTTTTTTTGCTGTTGGTGTTTCAACAGATAAGGAATGGAAAAATGATGTAGTTTACTAATTGCATGCCTGCCTCCTTCAGACTGTCTTTTCTGAAGAATAATGCTCTGATACTTCCAGGTATTTGCAGGGAGAAAAAGAAAGCACTGCAAGAGGAAAAGTAAAAGAGCAGCTCATTTTCTATTTTCCATGGTGTAGCTCTGGAGTTAAAAAAACCCTGGAATATAGAATTGTAGAAGGGTTTTCTGTTGGTTTGTTTTAATAGCAGCACTTTACAGAACGCTTGAGGTGAAGAGGACAATTCACAAGAATATAGGAATGGTCTCTAAGGTTTACCTGTTATAGCACTGGACTGACGCTTCCCAGAAGAAAAAAAAGTTGTTTTCATCTCTTTAAGAAAGTAAAGCAAGCACTTATTATTGGCACTGAGCACCAGCAGCCCTGCCAAAGGGATGCTGTAGAGCTGTCCTTCACACTGGTGTCAGGGTGGCACCTGCTGGGAGTTCCCCTTCATCCTTCAGGTCTACAGAGCCGCAAAAACTCCAGAGTGAAACTCTGGCTTACTGGCACGTGCTAGCCACAGATTGCTGGGTATTTATTGGACACTATTTCACCCCATTTTTTTTTTTTTTACATTATTATAATTATAGAGTATTTGCATTACTGAAATAAAAGGTAATACAGTTTCTTATAAGTACAGATGGTGAAGGGAGTCTGCTATTTTCAGTTCTCTTCCTTGAAGACTTTACCTGTGACATTAAAGTGATCCCATCTTACTTGAGCTTCATTTGCCCAAAAAGTACCTTCTTAATGTCAGAGAATGAATTCACCTTTCCAGACAGGATGTTTGGATTAAAAAACTTTTATGAACTCCGCATCAAAGCAGTGAATAAGCCACAGAAGTTTTAGTAGTTATGTGAAAAAAACATGTCATGTAGAAAAAAAGACTACTCCTGAGGCTACATTTCAAAGATGTTAGCAAAAGAGAGGACTCAGAAGCACTCTAATCAATTGCAAAGCAATGCTGTCTGAGATGACTATACACAGTGTAACAAATGCAGAGACTTGTGTCACATACAAGATATAAATATACTAATCATGATATAATTATCAGTGTTACCTTGACCCTGAATATAAGGGCAACCAACAGTGTTTCATAGCACTGTAAGGACATAATTTTTAGACACAATTTTTATAACTATATTAAGGAATGTGATCACTAAATGGTCAAAGTAGAAGACACCCAAGCACCAAAACCTGGCATACCTGAGACTTGATTAGCAAAACTGACTGCAAATAGAGAGACAGGTTATCATTCAAAGATGGAAGTCTGGCAAGAAAAAGTTCAAGCAGTTCTGCTGAGGAGTTGGTGAGGAATGCAACAGAATAAAACCATGTGACATAAACAAGGAAAAGTGAAGGGGTAAGACAGCTCACTTAGATTTTGAATGTGTCCTTCAGGAGCTCTCAAGTCAGACTTTGAGAACCATCAGATACTGTAAACAACATCATCATTTTCAGCATCAGCTCTGGGATAGTGAGCACTTAAAACCAACTTTAAACTGATCATTAAAGTTTTGTATGCAAGCTGATGAGATGAATATTATGCAACATTTAGCCATTAACATGGAGTAAACTACTAGTTTTTAATTCAGTAATGTCAAATTTTACAGCATAAAGCTGACCTAATTTGGCAGTCTTCTGAACACTCCCATCACAGACACCTCTGATTTCCATAGTGACAGAAATGCTTTTAGTTGCAACAACTTAGTCACTAGGAAGTGGTCTTTGCATATATTAAAGCCAGCTCAATGGGAGGTAGACTAAATCTTGAGAGAAGAAACATAGCAGTGAATGAGGGAGAGGAGGAGGTGCTGAAATTTATTTCTTTGCTACATGAGTACACCATGCAAATCAAGGCAGCTCTGTGGCATCACTTCCTAACACTGCACCTTGTTTAGTAAAAAGGTGATACCACCTGAACTTCTTTGATGCTGTTTTTGATGTGGAAGCAAGGCACTTGGCAGTAGTGTGATAAAACACAGACAAAGTCTTTACTGAATTTGTTCTGGAGGCAAAGAAGAATAACAAATGAGAATGTGCTTTAAGAAAAAGCAGTATAAATGACAGCACTTGCACACAGTCAACTGCTGAACAAGAGCATGTAGAACTGAGCCTGAGTCAATCATCTCTGGGAGGTAATGCTCATGTGATGTGGACAAATACACATTTCTTTAAGCTTACATCACACCTTCTTTCTGTGTTTCCATGCTATTACCCAGGAAAATTTATTAATTTAGAAGTAATTCATCTCACTATCAGAAAAATATAAATGTGTAAAAACTACTATGCAGAATAAATACTCTTATTCACCCAAAACCAATGACTAGTCATTTGGAAAAAGTTGTCAGTCTCCCAGCACTACTATTCTAAGACATTTATTAATTATCTCCTGAGAATATTATTAAATCATCCTAGTGCACCAATTCTTCTACTCTGTATAAATTATAAATCTTCACTATATTGCATGTTTTTTTTCTCTAAAACCTGACTGCAATTATACATCACTGTCCTTATACTAAATATTCTTAGTTCATTAGTTATTTCACGGGCTACTTCAATCCTACCTAACATTGTCATGCCTTTGAATGTAAATCTTGTGGAAAATCCTTTCAGGAGGCTTCAGGAAGTCTTCCTTCATTTCCATTGCAACATTCCTGGGCAAAAGGCTCATCAAGAGACGTTCCTAAAAGAAAACATAAACAATATCAGTTTCATGGTAGAGTGTGTGACCATTTTCCAAAAATTTTAAACTAGCAGACTGGACAATCTCCTCTTAATCTGCTTCTTTAAAATGTCTGCTGCATAAATAATATGAACCACTTGTCTCAAATTCCTGCAAACTGTGTATCTTTTTTTAAGTCTTCTGCACTAAAAGAAAACAAAACCCAAAACAAAGCAAAAATAAAAACCAAACCAAACCAAAACCCCCAACCCCCCCCTCAAAGAAAAAAACAGAAAAAAAAACGGACACAGAAAAAGCCAGCTTCAAGAGCATATAATTCTCTATATTTTTCATTAACGTCACAGTTCTAATAATAACAACTTACTTTATTCTTAGCAGCATTTATCTGTCTGGGAGAGACTTCCCAGGATCATTTGCTATCCTTTTGTGTGTCTTATTTCTTCCTGGATATAATGAAAGTGTTACATTACAAGGACTATGACAGCTGCTTACTAAGCAGTGAGAGTGCATGATGGATTTATCCACTGTCAAATTCAGTGGAACAGTGCCACAGTTTTAATGGCATCTTAGCCAGTGTGGCAATGTCTTTAATGAACTGCATCAGTACAAAACCCTGGCTAAACATGTCTTCTTGCTATAGTCACAGAGAAATTTTTAGCATGGGTCACTGACCTGCATAAAAAGGGTCTCTAATATTATGGATCTTGTCAGTATTGACTATAAAGTCCCATGTTGTTTTTCCACATATTCTGGCCCATTCACAAGTGCCATCTGGAAAATCTGCAGCTGCTGTTCTTAGGTGTTGTAAGGTATCCTTAGATACCTACACAAGTTGTGTTTTCACCTAGAAAATGCTTTCCATTTAAAATGCATTTCCAAGTCTATCCATCAGACCCTCTAGTTTCATCCGTGGCAAGAATCTGAATGAATTCATATAACCACATCCAATCTGATTCAGGAATGTCAGTTTCCAGACAACAAGGGATGAGCCTAGAGCAAGGAAGGAGTACCCTTGGTGGAACAGGATTAGATCAATGAATAATTAAACAGACTGGATAGATGTAAGTCCATGGTGTCTGACAGGACACATCCACAAGCTCACTGAGAGCTGTCAGATGTTACTGTAAGGCCACTCCAAACATAGTGACTGGGAGAAGTGACATAAGACTGCAGAAAGAAAATGTCACTTCTCTAGCCAAGAAGGGCAAGAAGGAGGACACAGGGAGCTGCAGGCCAGTTGGTTTCATCTTGGGTCCTGAAAATGATGAAGCATCTCATTCTGGAAACCAAGGTGGTCAGACTAGATGACTTCCAGAGTGCCCCTACCTGCCTCAACTATTCTGTGATTCTGTTATCTAACAGTCAAGACCCACTGTAATGGCAGTTGCAAGATGTCACAGAAGTGCATATTTTAGGCCAACCACATCCTCCTTTTCTTTAATTCAAATTAAATAAATAAGGAGAAAAAAATTAACACTGAGAAGAGGGTATCTGCAAGTGCTTTTGTATTGCTAACATGCACATATTCATCAGATAAAGCTATCAAATAATACTCAAAATTTATTCATAGGGTTTTTTATTTTAACAGTTTCTTCTGAAAGACACATTGAAAGAAAAAGTAAAACTTGGCAGAGCTGTCCTGGTGAATTTTAGACTAAAATTTTGTCATATGTTTGTGGTGGCCACATTGTCTTGAGACTAAGGATCATTAGCTAACTCTATTTCCTACTCTTATATATATGTAGCAGGACATTCTTCCCTGCCAAAGAAGAGCTTATCTGCTCTGTCCAACAGCTGGTGCATAGCTCTGGACATTCTCCCCCCCACTTGAATTGGTGAGATAGCCCAGGCTGGACAGATGAGTTATCTTTGGCACCAGGGAGATGAGATCTCCAGCTGACAATAAGCATCTTGTCTTGAGAGCAAGATGTAGAGAGATAAGCTAGGAATTCCTAACTGAGAGACACATTACTAACTATAAAAGCTACACAAATTTTCATGCAGGTAGAAGCCTCCTACAGACACCCTGGAAATGTGCAGGACTTCTCCCACAAGTTCAGATGCAAATTCTGAGGTTATTTTCCAGGTAATTGAGAGGAAGGATCCTATGTGTGCCCCATCAGCGACTGGATGGTAAACTACACGGAATCCTAATCTATACTACTTTTTCACTAGCTGTAATATTAGGTACCTCAGTTGTGCACTGTGTGTTATTTACTAGTAGTGTTTCTTTTGTTTATCCTGTGTAGTAAGTCACCTGTTAAAGTCTTATGGCTGTTAAATTTGTGTCAATTAAATAAATAATTCATTTTGTAATAGACCTAATCAACCATTGTTAAGAACCTGTGAGTGAGAGTGATCTGGGGTGCAAGCTACCCCAAACAGAGCTACTGCCAGAAATCTGAGCCAAAGGCAGGACTTGTTTAAGCTCTCCTCTACATTCGTAACAATGTACAAGAATCTTGCAAATAATATTATGGAATTAAATATTTGTTCACACGTATAGCAATTTCCAATTAACCAAAGTATTTCGCGTCACTTAAAAATGGTTATTCACTGTAAATTTTATGTTGATTTAATTAAGTATACTCTGCAGTATTTAATAAATTTAATTAAGTATACTTCTGCAGCAGAACTGTATTTGGGTAACCCAAATTTTGGGTTATAATCCAAAACACGTATTTTGTCCACAGTGGATGTTATGATGCTCTGTTGACTGCTACTTGTGTCTTAAAGTTGATTTACTGTTTTAAGAGGAAATAAACTGGTGTTATAAAGTGAGCTGACCACCTCCCAGACAACAGAGAACCCATACAAGAGAGGAGTTTGGACTGATGGCCAAATTCCCTGGTACTTAAGATGGCATAAGTGATGCTGGAATTTCATTAGTATTGCTCTGGATGAGAAATTTACAATGTCTGAAAAGGACTAAATGTTCTTTGTAGCTTCTGTTTCAGTGAACACATTAAACAAGATCTTCACTGTTTTGCCGAAATGGATTAGTAAATTTCAAAACTGTTATGGAGAGAGTGGGTTTTAGACTTCTGTTTCCTAGAAAGTCAGACATAACCAGACAAAAAAAGCAAACAAAAAATATACTGGCAGACTCTTCCAGAGAGCAGAGCTAACTGAATAGTTCTCCTATGGCCTGCAAACACAATTACAATACCTGAATAAAAAGCTCACAGATAATGGCTGCAGTGCATGGCAAATAATATGGAATCCAGGGAAGTAACAAGAACCATTACTGTGAAGACAGCATTGGAGAGCTGTAGGATGCAGCACCTGGCAGCATTGAAATGTGCAGATGTCAGATTTATGAAGGGAGGCTACAAAAATAATGATTCCTATACATGTGTAAGTTGACTGTAACAAGACCTGAAGGGAACATATGAAAATCCTCTATCAAATTGCGATGGCTTGCTTTTTTCATTAAAGATGAGGAAAAAAAAAAAAAAAAAAAGGATTAAAGGATTACTGATGAAGAATTGTAGAATCTATACAAAGAGGACTGGCAGCGTCAGACTCACCAAGTGAGGAAAGACTCAGTTATGGCTTTCTCAAAGGGCAGCCACTGCTGACCTTTCAACCTTTCAGACCAAGAAGGGAAGCTGCAGCATGACTCTAAGGATTTATCCCTGAGGAGGAGACTGGAAAATGTAAGAAAGAACCCTGCAATACAAAGTATCAAAACACTGAAAGTAAATGAAAGATACCATCCAGCTCTCTAGAAAGAATATAAGAAAAGTCTCTTCTATTTACAGCAAAATCTCATCTGCCAAGCAAAGCAGTATTTCCTTTCAGGTCAGCCTAAGGAAAGCTGAAGAACTCTGTTTTGGAGCAGCAAGAGTTAATTAATGTGCACAAATTATAGCAGCTGGAAGGTTTGGGAAAGGGCTCTGCCTGGATCCCTATTCAGCAACTCCTACAATTTTTGTCCAGTTTTTTTCATTTGCGCCTGTATGGCTGATCTGATTACAAAAATAACCTGGAAACCAGGCTAAAAGGAAAATTAGGTGTGTAGGATAGTGCATTAAATGGAACAAGTGACAAAACTAATGGAAGACCACTCACATTTATGGTGACATTCATGCTTGAATGGTTGTTGCCCCTCTAACAGGGAGGGTGATTACAAGAAAAAATAGAAAGAGTAACACAGGGAACACTATTCAATCAGTAACAACTTTTACCAAAATTAAACAACACCCATGTTGCAAACTTTCTAATTGGTCACAAATTATTTTGTGTTGAGGTAGCCTCATATGTGATATATTCCTAAACACAAGGTCTAGTAGAAACAAAATGTTTCTACATTTTTTTCTCAGTTATTCACAATGTTTTTTAGGATTATTTCAGCTGTTTTCTATAAAGAATATTAAATTTTGGTCACACAACCAACTTACACTATATTAGGAATTTGTACACTCTTCTGCTGTAAATCTTCATACAGCATTAAAATGGTCTAAAGTGAAATCATATGCTGAAAATAAAATTTCTTTTCACAGATTGTAATTGTCAGTCAATGATTTTACATTACCTGCAGAAATCTCACTAAGAAAAGAAAATGATAGACGAGGACCTAGATCTTCTTCATTCACAACATTTTACAGTCCCAGTCCTGTTCTGAGATTTCAAATGCCAAACTGGGCTTCCTTTGCCAAATATATCATCCTGATTATTAATGATTACTGCACTACTAATGAAGATTTAACTGTTTTTGAAAAGAACAGTCAATTTAGAAAAACATTCAAATTTCTTTCTCCCACAGCAATGAAGCATCACTTGAAAATAGAGGATGAACAAACATTCATTTTGTGAATGCTAAGGCAAGTCAAAATGTGCATACCAAACCAATTAGGAATTGCTACCTTGGCCCTATTCAATAACTAGTACCATTACGCATGTGACAAATAAGATAAATATGCCAAAGTAGCAAAATGGAAAAAGTGCTTCCCATTGTTAATGGACAAAAAGACCCTATATTACTACTTGGAACGCTT